CACCCTGAATCTTTCCGTTTGGAACCTTGAGATTTATGGGTAATGCTGCTTGGCGCTTGAGATCCCAGTGGTCCTTTGCAAGAGTAACCATCCCCAAAACACCCTTGTTGCTACCCTAAACCCTAAACCCCACACAATAAACCCTAAACCCTAAACCCTAGCGGCTCCCATGCGGTCTGGTTACAAGTTTTTTGGTTTCTGGTACAAGGGTTTCAACCTCGAAGCCCTGCATGCATAAACTACAGAAACGCAAGCCCTGCAAGCCTTACATGAAAAAAACGCAAGTAGGAAGTGCAGTAGTATAGGGTATATGAGCCCAACTTTAGAGGGGTTCATGTGGTCCCTAAAGTGAGGGCGAAACCCTGCCAGAGTGACGACCGAGGCCCTAGCACTACATCTGCTGAATCCAGACCAAGAGAAAGCCATGAAAAATGCGGCGAAGCCGCTCGTCTTGGGGAATGCAGATTGGGCCTTAAAGGGATTTGACACGGTGACACGGGAAGGTTAAGAAAGGGATCCAGGCTCGGGGGTAATTCGGGTTTAGGATGTAGGGATCTACTGTCAAGCCACAAGGGGATCTGGAGCCTAAACCCTAAACCCTAGTTGGCACGAGCATCAAGAGCCCACACGGCCCACAGCCAGCAAGGATTGACAAGTCAATGTCGCTGCTCTTCTATGCTATGGTGGCCGTTGGCGTCTCTTGGACGACTCAAGTCACACACTGCTTCCTGAAAGGTGCCGGTTTTACAAAGGCTCTAGTCCGTTGCCTGCGTTCAACGTCAAGCAGGCGCAAGGCCTTTTTCCAGCAACGATGAACCTGGCGGCAGCGCTTTCACAACCTGTGTTGGCAGTACCCTGTAAACCCTTGAGGCTATGGTCACCTTTGCAGCATTCCTTTCGCTGGTACTGTGGCTGTACCACCTCTATCTTATCGCACGGGCCCCAGACAATTTGAGAATGAGTAGCCCCACAGCTTCGAAGCAGTGTTGGAGCCATGCACATGGCATAGTATCTCAACGTGGGTTCTCAGGACAAGTACAGTTTGTGCAACAGTGAGAGCCACGTGACTATATCAGCCCGTATCCGCGTTGTTGGCTGGTGCGCCGTGTGAGCTCAGAGTGGCAAAGGCTCGGTCCACTCGTAATGCTGGCGTTTCTTAAAGCTTGATTGTTTGCGTGGCTGCGTGGCTCCGGAATATCTTCCTGTGATGAATGTCAGGGTAGCCAGGGGTACCTGTTTCTTCGTGGTGTTGCAGCATCTCATCGATGCATAGGGCATAGGTGTGCTCCCTCTGCATTTCCATGTTGGCCTTGCGGTTTTGCACTTGCAAGCAGAGATGGTCGTTGTGATTGTGCCGGTTTGGACATGTTTGTTGGAGGTTCATGGGTAGTTATAAGTAGGGTTATAAGTACCCTAGGTGGGGTTAGAAGTATAGTTACCATACTTATCACCCTACTATTAACCACCCATGAACCTTCCCTGCCTCGAAGGTCACACGCCAGACGACGAAGGAGTTTCGCAAAGGCGGGGGACTTTCTGCTGGCGGGCTAGAGAGGAACTACTGGCAACTAGAGGAATCCTGGGCGAGGAATTCAACAACCCATGGCATTCTCGACACTTCCAGAAGCAACGCAATAGGGGAGGTTGGGAGTCCTAAAGCAGCGCCTTAAACCCTTCAAACCCTCCCCTGAAACCCCAGATACTCCCTAAACCCCAAACCCAAACCACTCGGGCCTAAACCCTACCCTTTACCTACAGCGTTACGGTACATACCTACCATTTAAGGGTAGTTACTACTTCTCTATAGGTAGATAAAGTCCCAGGCTACACTAAACCCTAAACCCTAAACCCTAAACCCTAAACCCTAAACCCTAAACCCTAAACCCTAAACCCTAAACCTAAAAAAGCCCCTGATCCCTGATCCCTGAGCTCCCACCATGCAGGCATTGCGAACATCGACGAGGAGCCCACACTCTGCGCGGCACGGGGTCCGCAGCTCTTCGACCCCTGGGCCCTGGTGGACCCCAAGGAGGGTTTAGGGTTTAGGGTTCAGGGCGGTTTAGGGTTTAGGGTTTAGGGTTCAGGAGTTTGGGGTTCAGGACTCAGGAGTTTAGGGTTCAGGGTTTAGGGTTCAGGGTGCTGCTGGGGCAGAAGGGCGAGGCAGGCAGTGGCAAGGAGACCTCCTGCCAAACGAAGGGTTACAGGCAGGACACCCCAGAAGACCTGGAGCAAAAAAGGGCTTAGGCTTTAGGGTTCGGGGTCTTGCGTGGTTCGGAGAGAACAGGCTCCCGTCACATGCTCTGCTCAGCACGGGTTTAAAAAGGGTAAGCAGGAAGTTGTTTTTGTTGAGACAGCGCCTCTTTGAACCCTAAAACCGAAACCCTAAACTGATGTGCCAAAGCAGTCAGCGGCTCGTCAAGGCACGATGGAGAGGTAGTATCTGAGCAAGCCCAACCCCCGCCCCCCGCAAAAAAAGACCTTTAAGGAGGGGGGGGAAAGGGAAAGGGGAATGTTAGTCGTGTTAGTTGCAACTGGGGTGTGTTGGGCACACGCGTGTTGAGAACAGGGGGGGTCCGTGTTGGGAACAGGGCAGGCGTGAGTCGGGAACGCAGGGGGGGTGAGTCGGGAACAGGGCTCATGTGTACAGCACGGCCCGGTTGAGTTGGGAACGGCTGCCCCCCAGAATTGGGTTTCGGAGTGATGACCCTACTCTGCAGGTTTGTTTTAAGGCCTCTTTCGACGACTTGGAGTTGGGTCTACCGTCTTCTTTTCAGCTTCCAAAGGGCAGACTTTACGAGCGGAACACATCTGACGTGTCATGAACCCGCACGCCAACACGCCGAATTGGTGTGCGGGTTCGTGACACGTCGGATGTGTTCGCCTCGTAAAGTCTGCCCTTTGGAAGCTGAAAAGAAGACTGTAGACCCAACTCCAAGTCGTCGAAAGAGGACTTAAAACAAACCTGCAGAGTAGGGTCATCACTCCGAAACCCAATTCTGGGGGGCAGCCTTTCCCAACTCAACCCCCGGGCGTGCTGTACACATGGGCCCTGTTCCCGACTCACCCCCTGCGTTCCTGACTCACGCCTGCCCAGTTCCCAACACGCGCCCCCCCCGTTCCCAACACACCCTCGGCCCGCTCATCCGGGGAAAGGGGGGTTAGGGTTTAGGGTTTAGGGTGTAGAGTTTAGGGTTTAGGATGTAGGGTTTAGGGTAGCCTGCTGCAAAAGGGTTTAGGGCAGTTCCTGGAAGATCCACTGTTGCACCTAGCACCTGGGTCTGGACCTTGCAAGTCATAGTTTTGCAAGTGGGAGCGGCAAGAAGAATGTATCACCACCGAGGCAGCAATGCCAAGAGTATCACCGAGAGCCTAATAGGTTGGGATGTTCCCCCTTATGCTAGCAGTCCTTAATAGGGATTATAATAGGGGTACTACACTCCAAATGAAGGACTGTTAGTATAAGGGGGAACATCCCACACTCAAACCCCTAAATTCTGAACTGGCACCCCTAAATCCTAAACTTCCTACTCTTCATAAACTCCTAAAGCCCCTAAAGCCCCTGAAACCCCCAAGCACCCAAATCTCCTAAACCTCCAAAGCGCTAAACCCCTTAAACTCCTTAAAAACACCTAAACCCCAGACCCTAAACCCCAAACCCCAAACCCTAAACCCCAAACCCTAAACCCTAGAACCCTAATTAAACCTAAACCCTAACCCCTAAACCCCAGGGTGCCGAAGACCAGGAGCTCCGCGGGGCGAAGACGAAGAGGAAGCGCCTGTTCCAGTGAGCTCCCACGTTCTCGTGCGTTCCCCCTACAACCTCCCTCTAGGGTTTAGGGTTTATAGGGTTCAGGGTTTAGGGTGTAGGGTTTAGGGTTCCCCTACGACCCCCCTAGGTTCCCCTCATAGTTGAGGCCATTTAGGCATAATTAAGCCGAATGAAGGTTCTTTAATGGGGGGAACCTAGGGGGGGGGGGTAGTAGAGAGGGGGCTAGCCGGAAGGGGGCCGGCTAGGGTTGGTTGGGGGTGTGGGGTTTAAGGTCTGGGGTTTAGGGTTGGGTTGAGGTGCAAAGCGGCCGGCCGCAACGTCAGAGTTTAGGATTTGCAGGGCTTGTCAGTAGGTGTTTAAATCGAGGGCTTAGAGGGCATTGCGTCGGCTACTTTGGCGTTAAACTCTTGCGGCACGACCCTCGGATCCTAGGCGGGCAGCTCACGCGATTACAAAAAGGCCCGCGCAGGGAGCTCCTTTTTTCAGCTCAGTGGCACACCTTGGGGTCACCACGAATTGAACCCTAACATTCGGGTCATAATACCGTATACCCTATACTACTATGATCCCTAAACCCTAAACCCTAAACCCTACCAGGGCATATGTACCATAAACCCTTTGAGGGTTTCGGGCTTAGGGCTTCAAGGGCAAGAGTCCCCCATAGTGAAGGTGAAAACGGCTTTCAGGCTGGTCAGAAAGATGGGAGTTGCGCAAGAGTCTGGGAGAGCCCAGCGCAAGTTTTGGGTTTGGGGGTTTAGGGTTTCGGGTTTAGGGTTCAGGGATACCCTGACAGCGATGGGGTTGCCAGTGCTTCCGGGTGGGAAGTACTCACCTGCAGCAACTCGCTCGAGATGTTGGCCTCCGTTCGTCATCTGCAGTTTGTACTTTCATGGGTTTGTTGCCACCCCTTTTTGTCCCCCTTGGGGTTGCTTGTGAGTCTTGCTGTCACGTGCTAGCCGCTGCTAGCCTTCCCGTTGATCCCGCTGTAGATCTACTTGAAAAGTGCGTTGTGGCTTGACCGCTAATACAGACCCCAAATAGTGAGATCCCCTTATCATAAGGACCCCCAAGAAGGGACCCCTAATTTCGGGAACCACCAAAACTGGGTTATGGTTGAAAATCATGTTTCATTCTTATGAATACACAAACCCAATAAGGATCAAACATGATCATGTTTATAGTACCCCAACAATGGCGCAGAAATAAGCAGACCTCAGTCGACCGATCCAAGACCGCCACGAACGCGAGCTTCGCATTGGCCACCCGCGGCGAGCGGGGAGCGCTACTGCTTGCAAGGCGCACGAGTGAGAGATGCTCTCAGGGGGGCCATGTTCCCCCTTAAAAAAGGGGACCCTTAGATATCCCGAGGGCCCATACTTCAGTACCCTTTCAAGGAGGAAAGGGACCATGTCAAGACCACCCTTATATTGAGTATGGGGGTAAGGGGGCTTGTGAGGTGTCCAGTTGCTGTTCTTAGATTTGTTGTTCAGTTCTCTCAGTGGGAAACCTTGTGGACAAGGGGTCTCCAACACCCAACCCTTGGATCCTCAGCTGGCCCACAAGTTTGGGAACCAAATGAACCATTAGGGTGGGGGAGCAGGGTTTAGGGTTTAGGGTCATACCCCAGATTACTACAAACCCTAAACCCTGATAGGGTCTACTTGGGCCATGCGCCCTGTTCGCGCCACCCCAAGGCCCCAAAAACGGTAATCCCTCTTAAAACCGATGTTCACCCATAGGAGCTCCGAATAACTTCCCAAGAGGGACATTTGGCTCAATCTCCACGCGGACCATCAGCATCTCCGGACTTCTAAGGTTCATGTCTCAGGGTGGTTCTATGATCCAAGAATATGGTCCTTTACCTCGTTTTTAAGGGGGTTCCAAAGTATGAGCCCTTGGGTGATAAAGGGGGGGGGGGGGTCGCCTTTCTAACAGGGCCCAGACTAGGGACCATATAACTTCCGATCATGTGGCCCCGCAAGAAGCCATGCACTGAACAGGCCGGATGCCTTCACGAGATCTGGGATTGAGGACGGGTTCATGTTCGAGGTTTGGACAGGGGGCTGAAGACGGGGGTTTTGCTTGGAGGTTCAATGAGGGTAGTTATAAGTAGGGTTTTAAGCATAGTTAGCAGAAACTCATTATAAGCCTACTTTAAAAACTACCTATGAACTTCCAAGTAGGGTTTCAGGTCCAAGGCAAGCTTAGGTGCGAGGATTGTGTCGCTCTGGGGAGAGATTGGGAATGTTTGAGGGGTCGACTGCCGCAAGCCTTCCTAGGCTAAGGTGGGATGTGCGCTGGTTAAGTTGACAGGTCCATCGAGGACTTGCAAGTTCGGTAGAAACCCTAAACCCCAAACCCCCTAAACTCTCAACCCTAAAGTGTGTGAAGTCTTTTCAACAGCTTCGGCTCAATTCAAAAAGCCAGTTTTGCAAAGCTGCGGCTGGCCCGGCATTGCTGCGCAAGCAACCATGGTCTCAGAAAGTGCCAGCGGCTTGGTTCATTAAAAGAAGTTGTTTTAAGAGGTTGTTTTTGGCCTTTGGGAAATTTAGGGGAATGAGGACCTCATGTCGATAGCTGAATTAAGGGGTCGAGGTGCTAAAGAAACCGAGCCATGTGCTGATGATGAATCTCGATGGGCAAGCTTTGCCCGTGGGTCTGTTTGCGTGCCTACTCGTATTCTCAGTTCTTTCACACCCTGAAGCCTGAACCCTTTTGGGCCGCAGGCTCCCCTGTTTAGGGTTTAGGGTTTAGGGTTTAGGGTAGCTCAAGGCGTAAACCCTTCCCAAACCCTCTCAGGTGATCTGGCGGCCGACATTGCGGAGCTGAAGGACATGCTGCAGCGGGCAGAAAGGCCGGGGATGTGTTTTTCAGGCAACCACCTGGCCTTAACCCGACATTCTCCCGCGGCTCATGTGTTTCTGGTGCTTTGGGTAGGGCAAACAGTGGGACCCAGAGAGCCCAATACCCTCTAAATAAGGAATAGACCTTAAATCATAATATTCAGGACCTTCAGGATCCCTCTTTTATTTAAGGTATCTTCCCTCCTTAAGGGGCTTTGTGCTCTTGGGGGCATTTTTTTCCTAGTTTTTGCATCTTTCCGGGGCAACTGAGGGAGTGAAAGTTGAGGCCGGCGGTGCGCGCCGAGCTGCAGCGCGTGCTAAGAAAGCTGGAGGTGCGAGATCAGAGGAGGATTTTCAGGGTCTACAGGGGGGGGGGGGGGGGTTGTCAAGAACTCGGTAGGCCCTTTAGGGACATTATATGTATATATGCAAATTAATAGGAATCCTTTGAAAATGAAGGAATCCCAAAAAGAAGTATGAGCCCTTTTCATATTCAGAGGGACCCCGATTGAAACTAAAAGAAGCCACTTGAAAATGATTGAGAACCTTGTTGAAAATCATAAGAACCCTATTTACAAAAAACGTATTAGGAATCCTGCTACATTGAATAAGAACCCTATGAAGATTCAGAAGAAGAATATTATGAAATGGTAGAGGAGTCCTATTAAGATGGTTAGGAACCCTTTGACGTTAATCGCAATTTATTAGGAACCCCAGTAAAATTCATAAGAACCCCATTACGGATTGATAGGAATCCTTTTAAAATGAAGAGGAAGCCTACTAAAATTCATAGGAACCAAGAGGAATCCTACAAAATTCAATGTGGTTCCTTTTCAAAATTTCTAGGCTTCCTGTTAGACTTAATGTGATTCCTATTAGAACTAATAGGACTAGGAATGCTATTCAAATTTCTAAGAATACCATTAAAATTTCTTGGAGACTCACTAACATGAATAGGCACCAATATGAATCGAAAAAATGATAATATCAGAGGAACCCTATTGGAATTAAAAGAACCACTTTAAAATGATTAAGAACCTTGTTGAATGCATAAGAACCCTATTGAAAAGTATTAGGAATCCTCTAATGTTGAATAGGAACCCTCTGAAAGTTCATAAGAATATAAGTAAAATGAAAAGAAGTCCTATAAAGATGGTTAGGAACCCTTTTACATTAATAGGAATAGGAATGCTATTGCTGAGATTAATATAAGACTGACCAAAACCAACGAGCCTCCAGGCATGCTGACACGTCCTGCTTCGAACCACAACCGTCCACTGGACAGCTACATGTAGATCTGAACGGTTCTGGCCCGAGAGTGGTACGAGGCAAAACCAAAAAACATCTTTTTTAGAGAATGGTGAGGGGATTTTGAAAAATGTGGTTTTTTGGTTTTGCCTCGTAAACAGATGGTTTTGCATAGGGAAACGAACTTTTCCTCGCAAAAAGATGGTTTTCCTTAAGAACACCAAGCCAAAACCATCTTTTTACGAGGGAAAAGTTGGTTTTCCTATGAAAAACCGTCTTTTACGAGGCAAAACCAAAAAACACAAAAAGCAATCGTTTTTAGAGAATGGGGGGGGGATTTTGAAAAAGATGTTTTTTCTGGTTTTGCCTCGTAAAAGATGGTTTTTCATAGAAAAGCCATCTTTACCCTCTTAAAAGATGGTTTTGGAGACACAAACCAGCTTTTTCCTCGTCAAAAGATGGTTTCCGGGCCAAAAACCAACTTTTCCCTCGCAAAAAAATGGTTTTCCTGAGGCAGACCAGGCCAAAACCATCTTTCTACGAGGGAAAAGTTTGTTTTTTCATGAAAAACCATCTGTTTACGAGGCAAAACCAAAAAAACTATCTTTTCCAAAACCCCTCCCCATTCTCTAAAAAAGATGGTTTTTTGGTTTTTTGGGTTTTGCCTCGTAACAGATGGTTTTCATAGAAAAACCAACTTTTCCCTTGTAAAAAGATTGTTTTCCGGAGGCAGTCCAGACCAAAAACCATCCTTTACGAGGGAAAAGTTAGTTTTTCTATGAAAAACCATCTTTCTACGAGGCAAAACCAAAAAACACAAATCTTTTTCAACACCCCCTCCCCATTCTCTAAAAAAGATGTTTTTTTGGGGGTTTTGCCTCGTAAAAGATGGTTTTGCATAGGAAAACCAACTTTTCCCTCGCAAAAAGATGGTTTTCCTGAGGCAGACCAGGCCAAAACCATCTTTTTACGAGGGAAAGGTTGGTTTTTCTTTGAAAAACCATCTTTTTACGATGCAAAACCAAAAAAACCATCTTTTTCAACACCCCCTCCCCATTCTCTAAAAAAGATTTTTTTTGGGGGGGTTTTGCCTCGTAAAAGATGGTTTTGGAGCCAAAAACCAACTTTTCCCTCGCAAAAAGATGGTTTCCCTGAGGCAGACCAGGCCAAAACCATCTTTCTACGAGGGAAAAGTTGGTTTTTTCATGAAAAACCATCTGTTTACGAGGCAAAACCAAAACAACATCTTTTTCAACATCCCCTCACCATTCTCTAAAAAAGTTGTTTTTTTTGGTTTTTTGGTCTCGCCCGTCTCGGCGTCCATGCCTGTGGTCCGTGTGGGGTCTGTTTTGTCGAGAGACATATTTACGAGGGAAACAGATCTGAGTAGGTCATGGGGGGGGTGTGTCCATATATATATATATTTATTTATTTATTTGTGTATTTGTTTATGTATTTATTTATTGTAATATATATATATATATATCTTTATATATGTGTGTTCCCTTCAGTGGGTTTTAGAGGATCATCTTCAGGAATATTTTTTAGAGGGTTTTAAGGCCAATCCTGGAGAAGTGTCAGTGCAGCATTTGGGAAGAGGACCCAGTGGTCTTGCAAGCTTCAGCCCACAAAACTCGCACCCAAGCCCGAAAAGCCATGTTTAGAGAACAGTTCTCACTTGGAACCCCAAACTAAACCCCCCCAAATTTCCCGAACCCGAAAAAACCCACCCTTGGAACCCTAATTCTTGGAACCCTAAGTCCCAACTGGGGGCTCCAAACCCGAGAAAAAACAAAAAAACCACTCTTGGAAGCCTCAGACCTGACGCGAGGCCGAGCAGGCCGAGGCCTCAGTCCCTGCTCCCGCCCCAACACAGCCGAAGGTGCCAGCGAGGGTTGGGGTGGGGGGGGGGGGGGGGGGGGGGGGGGGGAAGGGGGGGGGGTTTAGGGTTTAATGTTGGACCTGCTGTATTAGGGGGGGTCGCTTTAAAGTCAATTTGGCGGAATTATTCAGGACCTTTGAGGGGTCCGCTTTAAAGTCAAACCGTCCGGGCGCCGTAAGAAAATTCCACGTGGCGCGCCTTTAAAAAAGATAACCGGGCATTGCTGCCCCTTTTAAACATATCTAAACTCCACCCTATTAAAATCATATAAGCCCCCGGGGCCGTGTAATCAGGACCCAATCCACGCCCCGACTGTTCAGGGGGGGGGGGGGGCCCCCCACATTAAAGCAGGTCCCACATTAGGGTTTAGGGTTTAGGGTTTAGGGACCGGGCTCTGAGTGTGTGGGTGTGTGGGTGTGTGTGTGTGTGTGTGTGTGTGTGTGTGTGTGTGTGTGTGTGTGTGTGTGTGTGTGTGTGTGTGTGTGTGTTGTGTGTGTGTGTGTGTGTGTGTGTGTGTGTGTGTGTGTGTGTGTGTGTGTGTGTGTGTGTGTGTGTGTGTGTGTGTGTGTGTGTGTGTGTGTGTGTGTGTGTGTGTGTGTGTGTGTGTGTGTGTGTGTGTGTGTGTGTGTGTGTGTGTGTGTGTGTGTGAGTGTGTGTGTCTCTGTGTCTCTGTGTCTCTGTGTGTGGTTATTTCTGTGATGATGATAATGATTCTTTTCTTATTCTAATTGAACATGGGTAGTGTACACACACATATTTATACAGATATACACAGACATATATATATATATATGCTTATATACATGTTTGTATATCGACAACTATATACCTACACATGCATATAGTGTTCTGTAGTTAAATCAGATTGTCGTGTATGATATATATATATATATATATATATAGATAGATAGATATTTGCTTATTTCTTTATTTATTTATGTATTTCCTCACAGATATTATGATACTTATTATGTGTATATTGTACCAGATGTTTTTTTTGCATCATACTATGCAATACATAACTTCAGTATCGTGTTTTTTGTTGTCTCACACATTCT